CAGCCCAAATACCTCCTCAGTGGTAACGTCTCTGACTGCGGGCGGCACTGGGGTACGCGGCTTCGAATCTCAGAAGCAGGGACATGAATTCCTTCGATGTTGCAGATACGCCTTGCTGACTGGTGAGTGCCAACTAGTAAGAAACCTAGGTCAAGCAAGACTTCTTGTGGCCAATTGCTTCCAACCATCAAAGTACACCGTAACGATGAGCCACCTAGCATGGTAGACACATTGCAAGCTTGACTGATAAAATTCAGTTTTCACCGAAGATAGGACTAGATACATCACACTAGTTACTGACTAGTGTTCAAACAAAACTAGTTTTGCCTACACACTTTTTTTTTAAAATTATTTTATTTAGAACACAAATGTCGTATATTTAAGGGCACCAAGAGATGCCACAGCATTAAACACACTTCAATTATTTTTTTTTGTATTTCCCAATGAATGAAAAAACAAAACGATATTGTTTTTACTGACGTTTCGCTATTTAATGCTAATAGCTTTCTCAAAGTATTATTAAACCGGAATTTACAAAATCTCAGCACATATATAACAAAGAGTTAGGGGATGAGAAAAATATAGACTTAGTTCAACTTAAAAGGACATATTGACAGTCAAAATAACAATGAAGATCGTTCAAACCAAACATCAAAGGTAATAGTATATCTGTTATTATATGAAAATAAAGTTTACTAACTTGATCATCGTTCGTTAGTCTGGGGTCACTTTTGGTTGTCAAGTTCGAGAATAGGTAAAGGTAACCAAACTAAGTGTAGAATGTGAAATACTTGATTATCGTTCGTTAGTATGAGGTCATTTTGGTTGTCATGTCGGGGAATAGGTAAAGGTAACTAAACTAAGTGTAGGCTGTGAAATACTTGATCATCATTCGTCAGTCTGGGTCGTTTTTTGTTGTCAAGTTAGCGAACTGGTAAAGATAGTAAAACCAAGTGTAGATTGTTGGATTTTGTCAGTGTGTAGAATTATGAAAGTAGTGTGCGTTTACATCGTGAACTTGCTCACCACATTTGCGTTGATTTTGCTACTTCATGGGGGAGGGGGTGTTGTAGCCAGGTTAGATTCTGTTTTAGTCCATCATTCCTATTCAGGCAATTTGGATTCCACTTGATATGAAGTGCTTCTGATATTAGACGTTCTTTGTGGTTTCTGAATTCCGGTTTAATAATACTTTGAGAAAGCTATTAGCATTAAATAGCGAAACGTCAGTAAAAACAATCTCGTTTTGTTTTTTCATTCATTGGGAAATACAAAAAACCTCTATTATAATGAATATCATATACCCAATGCCCAAATTTTTTCAAACCGTTAAAAGTGAACTTGGTTTGGATATATATAACACTTCAATTAGTCAAAAAACTAGCAACAGAAACTAAGCAACAATTACTCCAAAGTGATGGAAACATAAAATCTCAATATTTAACTTGGATAGAACTCATAGAATTATGCCTTACAGCATATTTCCAACTTAATCATTAAATATACGAACAGATAAAAGAAACACCAATGGAATCGCCCATATCGGGATTAATAGATGAAGCCGTCATACAGAGATCAAAATTAATAGCTCTACCAATCATCAAACCCGAACTCTAGGTATTTTACGTTGATGATGCATTTGTAATGATTGAAAGAAATGTGATTTGGAATATATACCCACAAATTAATAAACAACATATTTGAAGACAGCAAAAAGTCACAAGAGAAGAAGAATTAGACAAAATTCCATTTTTAGATGTCTTAATCAGAAGAACTAACACAGGAAATTTAGAAATACAAGTATGTAGAAAATCAACGCACACACAGATCGAATACTCAACTATACTAGCAATAATCCAATTACTCACTCACAAAGGAAACTGTGTGTAGACATTGTTTAAAAGAGTGCGAAACAGACACTGTAGCACTCCACTGTTGAAGAGAATGAAAGAAAAATACCTGCTGTATCCAAAAAAGAGGAATGAATACCCACACAATTTCATCAAAATGTGTTTGAAATCGAGTCAAAACACCAACAAGAAACCATCATCAAAAACCACAAGGAAATTCATTCTACCATATATATATACGCCTGAAATAACAGCTAGAATATTAAGACGGTTTGAAACAGATATAGCATACAGGCCAGCCTGCTAACCAGCACAATCACTTCATTCGATATTGTGCCAACCGAAAGATCCAACAGAAAAATGAGATTAAATTAATACAATTTACAAAATAAATTGCATGCATGAACTGCAATGAACACCACATCGGTGAAAGCTGGCTTCCCCTTCGAATCCGAATACTAGAACATAAATTAACTGTGAAAAGGTATGATATGTGTAATTTTTTCGTATCAACGCATGTAGATAATTTAATAATAATAATAATAATTTTTTCCTTCACGTTCCCAGTGGAACATAGGGCTCCAAGCTAGTGGCTTGAAGTTTCTGTAGCAGTGTTTATTTTACAGGATGGGGTTGCTAGCCTCATGACCAACCTTTCCTCTTCACCAGAATTATTTCTGGCTTAGCGAGGTAAAGGAGTGCGTCGGTGGCCGGGGATCGAACCCCTGACCATGTGCATGGTCGGCGAGCGTCCTAACCGCTATACCACCGACGCACTGTAGATAATTACGGACATTAATTTGATTTAGATAATATACAAATCTTAGATAGACGAAACACCGAAAATACTGCCACCAAGGAATTCCTTCAGACTTGGTTCTCAAGTGAATCAGTCAACGATTAACAAACACATTTCTATCGACCAAATTTACCAGATAATAAAATGCAAAATTACATAACAAGAAAGTTAGAATACCAAGTCAACGAAAACGAGCAGTAAAGACGTGAATTAACAATTGGTCACGACGATGGTTGGGCCAGGGGATACAATTATATTAACATTCATCACTAATTCGAATAAGTTCATTTTATAATAAAACCTACTCATTGAAGGGGGAGACGACGAAAGCTTCACAATTAAATTATCAACCAGATCAACGAAAAGACAACTAATTCAACATGTACTACACAATGACTGAGAGAAGGCAATTAAGCATATTTGTCAAGATCATTCAACATTCATCAACATTTCAGATTACTTTCAGAAAAGGAAGGAAGAAGTCAACTGTGACATGTTCCCCACTGACTACAATTCTTGATCATATCTGATTACGTCTCGAAATATTTTTCGGACCCTGACCAGGGAATCATCATGTAAAAACTGATGCTAACCTAACACACGAATATCCTTCATCCGCTTTTCTTATCCACTTCCAGGGCTGGCGAACAGACATCAGTGAGGCAGACTGTGGGATGACATTCGTAGCAAATGTCCAGGCCACCGTAGCCAGTGTATCTAGAGGACAATAATCAATAAATAGTGATCTCCACTGTGTCTAGACACCGCTGCCAGACCTCAGAATTACTTTCACGACAATACCACCGTGTATGTGTGTTGTGAGTGTGGCGTTTCTCTTGAGGCTCCAGTAATATACCAAGTTTGTATTTTTAGTATTAATAATAATATAAGCTCTAGGTAGATAATAAGTCCAGATAACACTATTAATTGCAGATAATAAGTCTGTTAGATCACACCATAAATCAATACAGTACCTTAAGGTTAGTTAGTATTAACTGGTCTCATAATATTATTTATTGAAAAGCACAGAATTCAAATGGTACTAAAGGAGGTCGCTCCGACTAGTGGGGCAGCGCATAAGCCTACCAAAATCTAGATTAGTTGACCTTACGAAGATAGGAAATCTAGAGAGTAGTTCAGCTATAGTACTCACTAAGGGGAGATGGCTAAACCCTGATTCCAAACCTCCAACGGCTGGCGTATGAAGCTCACCGGTAGACGTATGGACAAAGGGCTTGTTGGATGCCCTGGATGTCTGGCCCCATTCAAAAACGCGTATCAACCGGACTCCGGTCACCGGCTGGCTGACAATGGATAGTGGACTCCATACTCCACTCCTACTGCCTTGTAGGTCACACTTGGTTGTGTAAAGGCTAGAGCTGCACTCTCAAACAAAAGGCCGAGCGATTCTGGGGACATCACTCGTACCTAATTCCCATGAAACTTCATGAACTCTCTACAACATCAACCAAATTCCAGTACTGGTCCAACAACGTCGCCTTCGGTGGTTTGGTCATGTTCTGCGCCGACCAGATGACGATCTGGTCAAATCAGTTCTAAATCCCTCACCATTTCCATCTTGGCGATGTCGCAGGAGTGGACAGCTGAAAACATGGCTTGGTACAGTCAGTCAAGGCTGATATGGAGTCCCTGGGCTGGGGCTACAAACCGTCTACGGACTCCGTCTGTGGAACAAGAATCGGATAACCCTGTCGCAAAACCTTGCATCAGATCGCCGCGCCTGGGCAGCGATGATTCGAGATGTTCATGAAGCCGGCTCATCCTCCCGTAGGAGATAGCCGAAGTAAAGTAAAGTAAGTAAGTATAGTACTCACTACATGCAGTTACACGACCACACAGAAATAGGGGGAGATAAGATGACAGTTCTAAAACCCTAATATAACAACAGGACGGAGGGAGAAATTGATAACAACAAAAACAATGGAAAGTTTATTCATCGAATCAACTCAGAATATGTTTTACAGGAATGATTCAACACCTGTCCACTCGATATCTTCAGAAATCCTACCACCCCCACGAAGAATGAACAGGAGGGAATAAAGAAAACTATAAAACGAAAGTTTCGAAGTTGTGTGGTTATAATGATGATGTGATGATGAACAGTAATAAATAGGGTTCGGAACTTTTTCATCCAGTATGTAATGATACTGTTTCACACTCTGTGTGTATGTGTGTGTGATAAATCCATTTAATAAACAAAAATAATATGGAATTACATACATCACGATAAAGCCAGAGTTTTACACAATATATTGAGTCAACACATAAAATGACACGTAGGTAAAACTTTTGATGATACCAGATGTAAAATAGTACACAGAAATGATTACCTCTCCGCCTAAAACTTCTAGCTGACGACTAGATAATGATTGTATAGCACCAGGAGGAACTAGAAGAACATTGTTACGTAGAAGTAATGGTCCACGTAGACGAATTTTTACACCAGGTCGAAACTTTTGTGATAATTCATTGAAAGATAGTGCAGAAGATCGAGATCCTAGTGATGATCGACTACCAAATTCAATTGCTTTAATCTCATGAACTCCATCAGTTAAAATTAAAGTGACACAACTGGCCACTGTTGACTGACGAGTATTATTTGTTTGAGTAGCTGAAATAAGCAAATAGAGAGGGAAAGTAGGTGAGAGAAAAGAAAAGCACGTCAAACACAGGGTTTATTAATGAAGAGCATAATATTATTAAATAGTTGCTCTGTGAGAACGGTTATCAAGAAGAATTCATCGACAGGAATATGAATTGAAAGTCAATGCAGGTCAACGTAACAACTAACAGTTCCGAAAAGGTGATAACACAACGCCTAAGGAGTGCAGTAAAACGAAGAGCATTCAATGCCACTGAAGTATACTGTCTCTTCAAAACGTTCGGGTGTTAAAGTTAAACTATCTAATTTCGCCTATTTTATGTGTATCTATCAAACGGACTGCTCCTTTGGAGCCAGTCAGTTATATAGGTCGTACAATTAGACGTGTTTATCGTCAGATTTCCGAACACCATCCTGAACCAGGGGGTTAAGTCAGGGAGAAACAAAGGCCATTCTTAGTTCTATACGGTCTCATTTCGTAGAAAGAGAACACAAAATTGATGTTAACGAGGTGGCTTTCAAAGTCATCTACCGTACACCAACCGAGTAATCTCAGTTTTACCTCAGAAGTTTGTCTATTATGCATACGGCTGAATCTACATTTAGAAGCCTGACTAATGCATTCAAAAGAAAAAGTTGGTTGGCTCGAGTGCTTTCCTCACCTTGGCCGTCAATCAACGTTTTAATGATCCTTAATTTGTTGTTGTAGAGATTTATTTTATTTTATTTTTCTATTTACGATAACATTTTTACGCTTACTGTAACTAAAGCGTTTTTCTTAAACTTTAGTAATTCCACTGTGATTTTCATAAATCGATAATATTTAAAACAAACCAATATTCAAGTGATAGTTTGGAGGGATTTGATTGATTGGTTACAGGATTTCATCATATGAGCTGACATTGGTTAGAGAACCATTGGAAAACCTGGGAGTCCTGGACAGCTGATGATGAAATCTTGTAACCAATCAATCAAATCCCCTACAAACCAACACTTGAATATCGATAAGGTGCCCACTGCCGACTGGCCCTATTCAGGTAGGTAGTTATCTGGGTTCTAGTTGGAAGTAGTGACCATTAGGGTGCCGCAGGTCGGTGTGAGGACAAATACTCGCCCCCGAAGACATTGGCTAGCGGTCGCGCTCTGTCTCGCGTGAATTGGCCCAAGTTAGAATTCATGGAATGGCCATTGGATCAGGTCGCAGTGAGTGGCTTAATGGTCTACGAGCTCGCCTTGTAACCAGAAGGTCCTAGGTTCGAATCCCAGTGGGTGCGTACTGATGAAGAGTTCCAGACTAGGAGGAAATAGCTGTCCAGTACTCCCAGGTTTTCCAATGGTTCTCTAACCAATTTCAGCTCATGTAACAGATCAATATTGTTAATGACGATTATTCTAGAATATTCTGTGTATATAAATATAGACACTTATGTAACTGTGGAACCGGAAGAGAAAATTATCGAAAAGAGTCATATTTGCTGAAATTTAGATATTGTCGTCTAAATGCCTGAATGAATATTTCCACAATATATTAAAACAGAAAAGTTTAAAAGCACAAATAGTTGTGAATACTAAAACTAAAAGGGGAAAAGAAAGAAAACTGAAAGGCTTGTTAAATAATATTAAGCCCTGAAATTGAAACCATTCGAATACAGTCTTCTGACTGTTAGAAGCCTCAAATAATGAAATCAGCAGAGTATGTAATCTGCTTAACATCATAAATGCCATCAGATTAATACGTTAGAATGCTCCACAATTTGTAATACTTATTGATATTGTAACGACAGAAGGCAAGGGTCATGCAACAGATCGTTTATTGAAGAAATCAAGAGATATTTATATATTTTTACGTACATTCTTATTAGCGTTATTGTTAGCAGAGGAGCAACGTCTCCTGGTTGGTTGTTTTCTTGCTGAAGGTGATTCTGACATCTTTTTGTGGCCTTTTCTTAGACAGTCCGGTTATATATCTGCAAATCGTAATTGTACACATTAACTCTGCTGTGATTGGTTGGTGACTTCCTCAAGGTTAAGCTTTGCAATTGTTTTTTTTTCTCATGACCCCGATTCACGACGTAACATTGACGTAAATTGTTGTCTACAATTTTTCGCTTCCAGCTAGTTCTCACCACAATATGAGCAAGTTTAAAAACAACTCATGCTAATCAGAAGTGCTAAAACCACTTGTAACCAGAAGGTCCTGGGTTCGAACCCCGGATGTGGGTGGGTACTGATGAAGAGTCTCAAACTAGGACGAAACAACTGTCCAGCACTCACACACACTGTACACCTAAATAAAAAGAGGTAAACTGACAATGAAAAATTCAGCGAAGCTTTTGAATTGAATACACAATTAAGACAAGACTGCCTATTGTCGTAATTCATATTCTTAAAAATGACGTGGATTACATTAAGCATAGGATGATGGGCGGTGAGCAGATACGAATATGCTGGACGAGATAACAAGACTCTAGAAAATCTAGATTTCCCGAATGGATGATTTATGTTCAATGTTACACAAACTCGAAGACTTGAAGGTGAAAACTAACAAAATATATCAGAAGACACTGACAGAGGAGACTGGACTTTAGGTGAACAAAGAGAAAACGGAGGTGATGAAGATAACCAACCAACCAACCAACAACCACATTAACAACCAGCATCAATCCCCATCAGTGGCAGAGAGAGAGAGAGAGTTGTTGGAGGTTACTTCCTTCACTCACCAGGGCTACGAAGTATTGTTACAACCAAAGGCACACGGGCACAGATGAAGATGTCAACACCAGGCAGTCTCAATCGGAAAGGCGACATACACCTTCATCATCTCTAAATCAGTTTGGAAATCGTCTGCACTCCACCTCAGTACAAACAACAAGATTCACATTGCAACACAATTGTCAAGTCAGTCAGAAACTAGACCAGTGCATCACGAATAGCATTTTCCAACAGCAGCCTCCAACAAACTTTTATCAATAGTCGCTCAATTTACTGGCTCCATAGTGAAAATCGAAAGGCCGGTGGTTGACCGGAAAGAATTAGCACGAAAAAACTATGGGAACTATGTAACTAAGATCCTATTGCTCAACAAATATGTTTATGTGTAAAATGCAGATGGATTGGGCACTCGTCACTGAGGAGACTGTCGAATGACGTAGCGCTTAATACAGGCCATCGGTTGAATGGGGGAGGGGGGGAATGAGGAGTTGGACATTCGTCCGAGAGTTGCATGGAAGAGATGAGAGATTATGCCTATTCGTGGGAGCAGCTAATGAAGAGGACAGCAGAATATAGGACAAAGTTGAGATGTGTTGTAGAAGCGGTATGTTCCACTCAGAACCCAAGAGAACAATAATAATAATAAGTGTATTGTAAGAAAGTACTCACTACTTTGATTAAGATATTGACTAACAGCCTGTGTCATTTGAGTAGCATTACCATCAGGATTTTCATCGCCATCCACTTCCAATGGTGGCAGATTAACACTTAAATTACCCTCATATCGTCTCAATTGACCATAGAATGATTCACCAATGTTAAATAGATTGACAACCTGAACAACAACAAAAAAAACAAAAATAAATTGACAAATGAACAAATAGACTAACAATTATCTTCTTTCCTAAATTGATACTCAGTGTGAACACAGAATGAAATGAATTCAAAATATACAAAATATTCAGACAATTAAGAACTACCTAAAATTGGTCAACAGGCCTTTATTGCTATTTGTTACTACAGAAACTGATTGTCACAAGGGATGTTACGTTTCGGCATTTGTTACAAAATTGTTCATGAGTTGACATCGGTTGGAGAACCATTGGAAAACCTGCAAGGAGTGCTGGACACGGGTGTTTCGCCTTAGTTTGGGATTCTTCATCAATAAGCACCCACCACTGGGGGTGTAAGTGAGGTCACAAAAGCTATCAGTAATTTGAAACGAGGCAAAGCGGCAGGACCCGACGGAATTATTCCGGAGGTGTTTAAATATGGGGGTGACATACTAGTTTGTAGATTAACTGAGGTACTAGGCAAAGTCTGGGAATCAGAGACAGTGCCATCAGACTGGGGTAAGTCACTTATTATACCGATATTCAAGAAGGGAAACAAGTCCTCGTGTGATAATCATAGGGGGATCAGCCTAACGAACATAGTCTCTAAAATCCTAGGCTCAGTAATCATGCATAGACTAAGCAGAACTCGGGAGGAACAGACAAGGGAAAATCAAGCAGGCTTTAGACCAGGTAGAGGGTGCATAGATCATATCTTCACTCTTCGACAGATTCTAGAACATAGACACACTTTTCGGCGTCCAACAATTGTCATATTTCTTGACTTGAAGGCGGCCTTCGACTCCGTGGATCGAAAGGTACTATGGCAATGTCTGACTGTGAAGGGAGTGCCAAGAAAGTACATTGCACTAATCAAGGCACTCTATTCAAACTCACGTAGTCGTGTAAGGGCTTATGGGGAATTGTCATCTGAATTGGTAACAACCAGTGGTGTCCGACAGGGATGTCCACTTTCCCCATTTCTGTTTAACTTCATCATAGATATGCTAATGGAAGTATCCTTAACTGAACGTAATGACTTAGGAATCGACTTGTTACCAGGGAATAGTCTTATGGACTTAGAATATGCAGATGACATAGTCCTGTTAGGGGAGGATGCTGACAAAATGCAGAGTCTTCTGAACACCTTGAGCAGCAATCTTCGTATGTTTGGCATGCGATTCGCCCCTGCAAAATGTAAGATGCTGCTACAGGACTGGACCACGTCAACTCCTAACTTAGTGATAGGGAGTGAAGTGATAGAACATGTTGACCACTTCACCTATTTGGGAAGTTGTATTAGCACCAACGGACTGATTGGCGATGAAATCTCAGCACGGATCCGAAAAGCTCGAGCTGCTTTCGCTGACTTACACCATCTCTGGCGTAGGCGTGACATCCGGTTATCAACCAAGGGACGTGTGTACTGCTCAGCAGTTCGCTCCGTCCTTCTCTATGGCTCTGAAACATGGCCAATACGCGTTGAAGACATGAAAAGGTTGACTGCTTTCGATCATAGATGTCTGCGATCTCTGTCTCACGTTAGGTGGTTTAATAAGGTAAGTAATGTTGACGTTAGGCGTAGAGTGTTGGGCAAAGAGGGAAAATCAATCGACGAGGCTATAAAGTTACATAGACTAAGATGGCTAGGTCACGTGCTGCGCATGCCTAACCATCGCCTCCCCCGACGGGCATTACTAGCTGATATAGGTGCAGGTTGGAAAAGAGTAAGTGGTGGCCAAACAAAAACATGGCCTCATCAATCCATGAAATCCTTGACAGTTAAACTGAGTCAGGTAGGGAGATGCAGACTTCCGGGTTGGGGCCCTCGGGACTCTAGGAATCAATGGCTGGAGACAATAGGTGACATGGCTCAAAATCGTTGTCAATGGAGCAGATGTATTCAGTCTCTGTAATCTTTCATATTCCTTTCTACCATTACCCATTCTGTTTCACTCTTATACTTGTCAAACTCTATTGATTCTCTTCACTCATCTTCTTGTCTACCTTTGTGGGCTATTTGGAACGTGGCAACTCGAAGTGTTGCACTTCGGTGCCAAGTTCTAAGTTGAATCCAGACAGACAGACAGACCACTGGGGGGGTCGGACCCCAAGACCTTCTGGGTACAAGGCGAGCCAGCTCGTAGACCATTAAGTCACTGAGACCCGACTCAATAGTCTATGAATCTCAACTTCGGCCAATTCGTGATACATGTATTGAACGTGACTGGCACTGGCCACTGTCACAGGAGAGTGAATTTCCTCTTATCTGACTTTGTGGGCCACGCTGGTTATGACTTTTTACTAGTGTAACTACAGAAGACATGAGTCAGGCGACAAATCGTTTATGGAGATAATCAACAGATATTTAGATATTTTTATGTACATTATTAGTCGTTATTATTAGCAGAAAAACAGTGTCTTCTGATTGGTTGTTTTCTCGCTGAAAGTTATTCCATCTTTGTGGCCATTTCTTTGATGGTCAGACCATATATTTGCGAATCGTCTCCACCCCAACGCAAAGTCTGCTGCGATTAGTTGTTGATTTAGTCTTTGTTCTTTTCTCATGACAAAGATTTGCGACGTAAACATTGACGTACTAATTTGGGCAAGCAGACAGCTCACACCCGCACAACTAGAACCCCAGGTCTTCAATTGGTTCTCCAATTGACATCAGCTTGTGATGAATCCTGTAACCAATCGAATCCCAGCAAACCAAAATGTCGGTATTTGTGTATGCCAGTGGCGCTAATGGATACACTTAATTACCTTACTTTAGATGGAATAACAACTTTCACCTTATTGAACGAATTAAACAATGATAAATTATGATGAAAGCTCACCTGTAAAGAAAGTATTCATGATCAGAGGTTACAGTCATCAAAACTTTAAACTAAATGGTAGGTTTAATTCAATTTTAAAATTTTCCCGTCGATTGATTGGACCGAAATGCATGAGCATTTCGTCCTACCGACGGGAAAACATCTAAAATTGAACTAAATAATTAATATGACCCGTTGTAAAAGAGGTGGGTCTCGTGGCCTAACCGGTCTAGTGGATAATACCTTGGCGTTTGAAACTACAGGCACTAGGGTTCCAGCCTCGATGATAACATCATCACTCATCGCAGAACGCATGATGAATCCCGAATAGGACGAAATGCGCACCTTGGATTCCACTGCTAGTCACCATCTACCAATTAAATTCTAGTTACAAAGTGGGTTGTATAATCAAAATGAAAATAATTATTAGATTCAATTAATCCACAGTACATCAGATAACAACCGTTGCAGATCACGGTGTTTCCAAAGATAATACCGACAGATCAGTGTCCTTGTTTTGAAAGTGAAGTAATCACCTCCCGTTTGCAACAGCTGGGTATCAAGAAGATCACAACAACACCATGTCATCCACAAACAAATGGTCTAAAGGAGGCGAACAACAGTACACCAAAGGAGTGGCTGGCATCAAAGGGAAGTAACTAGGAGAAAGAGCTTCTACTGATTCTAATAGAACATCGTGCATCCACCTAGGAAACAACAAAGAAGTCACAATTTCAGTTTCTGTATGGTAACACAGAATGATTACCCAAGCACAAAAAACAATGTCCCTTCAACAAGAGTGGAGTACGACGAAATTGAGAGTGGAACGGAGAGACGCTGTCGGGAAGGTAAATCGCAAACAGGAGATAGGCACCACGAAATTTTAACAGACGGAAAATATGAAATGCACAACCTTTGCAGTCGGAGATGAAGTGAAGTCTACAGAGAGAAAGTATACGATTGAATACGGATCAAGTCCACAGAAACTACTTCCAAAGTGGGAAAGACTATTCACCATCACCGAGAGATGTGTTAAACCATCAGAAGAGAAGGTGAACAGAAACGTGTGAACGCCAGATAAATCCAGATGTGGATACAGTGGGACAAGCCAGCCATTAACAAGACGCAAAAAGAGTGAGTAGCAACCAGAGGATTGGGGCGGCTCCAGTCGAAACTATTTGACAGACTGGGGAGCAAGTGTGGTGTGTGCAAATGACAAGATTTATCAGCAGTATATAGTCACAGATTGATAGGAAATTGATAACCAAAATTGAAAACAACATTTTCATTTAGTGATTACAGAGATAAAATTGTTTTTTCGTCAAATCTGGATTTAACGCTTACGTTGTGGTTAGGAAATAATCTTATTGGATAACTGTTCGTCTCAAGGTTTAACCTTCAGTAGACCAACAACCAATCAGAATGGTAGTTTATTGTCTGCTGACCTAGCTGACCTTAAGTGTGGCTAAAAAATCTATAAATATGGCGTGTTTCCTTCCTTAATAAACAAAAATCCGCTATCAAGTCTCATCTCTTCTTCCTTTACAACAGAAGGTTGACATTCTATCACGGAAACTAAAAACAACATGTTAGACAATGAATAGTTGACACCACACAATAGATTCAATAGTACACGATACAATGAACAACAAATTATAGGTGAATCACACCTTGATAAATCTACCTGAAGGCATAGTTCACCATCTAATTTAAGTGCATGTGAGCCAGTATCATTTGTATTACTACTGCTATTACTACTTCTTAAATAATCACTGCGATTGTTGTTTCCAGTAGGTACAGTTGACGGAAGGACAGGACACGCCAATTGTTTCAAATCAGAATGAAGCCATTGTTCATAGATTAGTTGACACCAATCAGACTTTGTTAAATGACCGCATGCATCAATACCACCATGCTCTTCTGCAAGCCAAGCAACACAGGCATCAATCCAACCAGCTGGTACATTAATAGCTTGACTAGTAAGCCATATACTAAGTTGATTAACACCTGTATTGATATTAGCTGCAGAAATAAACGATCCTGTAGTCATAGACACCATGCTAATATTGATTGAAACAAAACAACAACAACAAATAATAATTATTTCTATCATTATAAGTACAGTATTAAAGTTCAAAATAATATTACATTTATAAAGTTTATAATGACAGAAAGACAGTAGTGATGCAGAATTTACTAACTGGTGGAAATAAAGTACAAAATTTATCAATGACACTTTGATATAATCATAAGCAATAAACTACAGTCGAAATTTCAACCAGTTAGTTAAATGAACTCATGTAATATGTTTCGTCCCAGTTTGGGACTCTTCAGCAATAGGTACCCACCAAAGCAGACTCGAACCCAGGACCTTCTGGTTACAAGCCTAGCGAGCTCGTGGACCATACAACAGACACTGGGACCTAATCTAATGGTCAGCTCGTGATTTCTGATTTCTGCCAATTCATGGAATAGCGTGATCCCTTAGAAATGTCTTCTCTGATGACTTACTGGCTCACCGTCAACCTGCTGCAATCTACTGGTCACGACTTTCCACTAGAACCCCAGGTTAACTGCTTGAATAGGGCCAGTTGCTAGCGTGCATCAGATCAATTTTCAAGTATTGGTTTTTGTAGGGATTTTGTTTGATTGGTTATAGGATTTCATCATGAGCTGACATTAAACAAAATCCCTACAAAAACCAATACTTGAAAATCGATCTGATGCTCACTTAGCAACTGGCCATAATTAGGCAGTTAATCTGGGGTTCTAGTGGAAAGTCATGACCAGTAGGGTGTGCAGCAGGTTGACGGTGAGCCAGTAAGTCGTCGGAGAAGACATTGTTAAGGGGTCACGCTATTCCATGAATTAGTAGAAGTTAGAATCCATAAGTCATTGGATCATGGCTCGAACCCAGAACCTTCTGGTTACAAGGCTAGCGAGCTCGTAGGCTATTTAGCCACTGGGACCTACTTCAATGGCCAGCCCATGAATTCTAATATCAACCAATTCATGATTTCAGCGTGACTGGCATCAGCCAATATCAACGGCAAACATTTTTCCTCACTCCTGACAGGACGGTCCCCACTGGTTATGACTTTCCATGAGAACTCCAGGAAAATCTATCCTTTAAAGACAGTCACAAGCGAACATTAAATTAATCTTCAAGAAGTGGTTTGTTGGGATTTGATATGCTGCATGATCAAACTTGATAAACAAATCGAATCCCTAAAAACTAACCCTTGAAAATACGTAAAAACCAGGATTCTTCGAATTCATCAGTGCAAAAATGAATGCCTGGAGTTTCTAAGCATAATTATCATTTAATCATAGAATGACAACACCAGTTAATACAAACACAAACAGAACAAACGGATTAGAGAGCATAATGAACAAGAAGGTATCCCGATGATTAAGGACTCATTACACGCATTTACACGAAAACAGTAGACACTTAAATAGGTGATATATATATATATATATCACCACCACCATGCTAGGTGGCTCGCCATTACGGTGCACTGTGAATTGTTGGTATTAGATGGTTGGAGGCAATCGGCCACAAGAAGCCTTGCTTGATCTAGGCTTCGTGCTAGTTGGCACTCATCAGCAAGCTTGACTGATAGAATTCAGTCTGCACCGAAGATAGGACTAGACACACTACACTAGTGTGCAATCAAAAATATCCAAAACAGTCCTACAGGAGATCAATCGCGAGCCAGCCAGAATAGTGCAGTGGTAACGTCTCTGACTGCAGCACTAAGTGACGCGGGTTTGAATTTCAGAAACAGGGACATGAGTTCCTTTGACGTCGCAGATACACCTTTCTGACTGGTGAGTGCCAATTAGCACGAAACCTAGGTCCAAGGCTTCCCTGTGGCCGATCACCTCCAACAATCTAATACCAATTGACTAATCTATCAGTATAAGAATTTTCACGAAAAGGAACCAGTTAGTTTTGTCACACTTCGCAAAAGTAACCCCCCCCCCCCCAAAAAAAAGAAGTGGGATGGAAAGCTACGAAATTACATTACATGAAGGTGTACGACAAACCAAATAATAAGATGTCGATTATTAAGGATTCTTGAATCTGGGACATCGAAAGGAGTGAACGCATCTGCACCTTTGTGATCTATTCTTAGCCATCACATAAACTGTAAGCATCCTGAGTGACCCAACCAGGTAGTCTACACCTCCCTCCTTGGTTGGCTGAAGCCAACATTTCATCGATTTTCATCACGTTTCCATCTGATCATCCTATGTCAAGACGGTGACGTATTCTAACCACCTAATTGATCGACTTTCTCCACGTACTTAACAACTATGCCTAACCTCTTAATTATCAACTAACATGAGAAATTGACGACAGAAACCTATAGTCAAAAATAACAAAGTCGTTTCTATATCTTACATTTTCAACAAGCGTGGCTCATATCTTTCAAATAGTACGAAGCAAACCAATGTAAATTACACACTACTTTGTTTATAGATAATCGAATATCACGCCTAGGCGAAGGATAATGCATGTTAGTGAGTGACAAACAAGCTTTCTGTGTTTACGCCAAGATTTTGTCGGTAATCAGTCCACTGAGACTGATGAAATTTCCAAAATAAGTGAAGTGACTCAATATATATTCAGTCGGTGCACACTAGCTCTATTATATCGTCTTATACGTGATACTGAAGCTTTAACTGCCCTTTGAATAAACCAGCCACCGATACTAAGTATAACAAAATACAATTCAAAGTTCACTTGTATTGCTTATATTATTATTATTATTATTCCCTAGGATTCCAAGTGGAACATAGCGCTTCAACAGCACATCTCTACTTTTTATTTCCAGCAGTCCTCTTCATCAGTTGGGCTCACGATAACCCATAATCTCTCATCTCCTCCTATCCACACAATCTCTTCCATACAACTCTCGGACAAACGCCCAACTCGTCGTTTCCCCTATTCGAGCGATGACCTGTATTAAGCGCTATGTCATTCGACAGTCTTCTCAATGGCATGCGCCCAATCAATCTCAATTTTACTCATAAACATATTTGTTGACCGATGGATTCTTGGGTACGTAGTTCTCATAGTTTCTTCTTGTTAATTCTTTCTGGCCAGCTGGTCATTCGATCTTCATTATGGAGCCAGTGAAGCCGGCAGCTGTTGATAAAAGTCTGCATCAGGCTGTTGGGAATGCTTTTCGTGATGCACTGGCCAAGTGTCTTACCCATGTATTTTAATTTTTCTTCATTTATTATAGCCTGATTCCACACAGTATTTTGATACAAGTATGGAATTTTCAGCATGTAATATCAGTAGCCCAAATTTAGCAGACTGACCATTGATATCAGATGTGTGCCGGCCGGATATCGAACCCCAAACCATGTGCAAGGTTGGCGAGCGTCCTAATCGCTGTACCACCGACGCAATGAACCCACTGACAGACTGACTTCACATTTGTGCTGAAAATGTGGATCTCGCTGCTTGTACTGATGCGGAGTGCAGACGATTTCCAAATTGATTTCAGGCTGATGAAGGTGTATGTTGCCTTTCCGACTGAGATTGTTTGGTGTTGACTTCTTCATCCGTGGCGTGTTCCGCCTGTGGTTAAAACGATTTTTCCTAGTGGGATAAGTGAAGGAAGTAACCTTTGTCAAATTTGGTAATTGGTGGCAATTGGCAATTGGTGCTGTTTGTTGTTGTTGGTGGTGGTTGGCTGGTTGGTTATCTTCATGAACTCCGTCTTGTCAAGGTTCACCTGGATTCCTGTCTTCGTTGCCTGCTTCTTCTGTCAGTTTGTTGATTTTCACCTGCAACCGTTCGAGCTTGAACACAAGTCATTCACGCGCGACATCCAGATCTTCTGAAGTCTACTTATTGTTCCAGTATATTCCCATCCTCTCCCTCACGTCTGTCTGTCTGTTTTCGACATAGAACTTTGCACAAATGTGCGGAAGTTCAAGTCGCCACATTCCGTGTAGCACGCGAAGCAAGAGAAGAAAGTACAAGAAAAGCATAATAGAAACAGTGAGCAGAGGTGTGAGACAAAGGAGTAATAAAGAAATACAAAACAGTTTCATTGAAGATCATAAGTCACAGGGAGTGGATGCATCTGCGCTATCCATTGAGAACGGTTTTGAGCCATATCACCAATTGTTTCCAGCCTTCATTGGTTTTTACCGTCCCGAAGACCCCTACCAAGAAGTCTACACCTTTCTACGTGGCTTAGACCAACTGTTGTGGATTTCATTGACTGATGAAGCCAAGTTTTTGTTTGACCGCCGCTAGCTTTTTTCCAGCCTGACCCTATATCCGCTAACATAGCTCGTCGAGGGAGGCGATGACCAGGCATACGTAACACATGTCCTAACCATCTCAGTCTTTGTAGCTTCACGACTTCGTCGATTGATTTCTCCTGTTTACCTAGAACTCTACGCCTAACCTCCATGTTGCTCACCTTATTATGCCACTTTACACGAGAAATAGAACGCAGGCACCTATGATCAAAGACAGCTAGTCTTTTCATGTCTTCCACTCTCAGTGGCCAGGTTTCACAACCACGACAGTCTATCGCCTCATATTGCAGTCTACCACAATCAGGAATATCATCGGTAATAATTGACAACCTTATCTTACACTCCTGTAGTCAATTCTTCAAAGGCCTCACTGAGTTTCTCGACTGGGGAACACCTGACACGACCACCTAAACAGCTAACCTCGCATGCAGATTCGCCTAAATTCTCATTGTTCAGCCATAACAAAAAATCAAAGAGCATGTCAAAAATACACACCACTTCGAAATCCAGATATTTAAAATGGAATTACACAACTATATATAAGCTGATAACCTATCTACGCATACATACAAGACCGAATTGGAGATAATTGGACATACGATAATAATAATAAGCTATATAACACAAAATCAGCTGATTACCACACACATACACACACACACACAACACATTCCATATGATAAATGATCGATTTTAATAGGTTTAAATTCAGTCAGTCAGCCAGCCAGCAAAGAGAGAAAAAAATAAAGATAATTTAATAATGAATG